AATCATTCTAGCTGGATGACTCGATCAAATTGCTGTTTAACCTTTATTGAGGTTCACCTACAGCAAGTCTGACACTGATTTAAACAAAACTCACATTTTATATTTATATCTAACATTGAACGGAGTTAACGAAAGCTTAATGTGATTTGATTTAACTTTTGGACATAAAATCAGTCAACAGCTTAGAAATAGAATAAATTAAATTAATTTCCTCTATCAAAATTTTTTTTTGTTTTGTTTTGTTTGTTTGTTTGTTTGGTTTTTTTGTTGTTGTTGTTGCTTCTATTGCATTTACGGATCAAGAGGATGGGCTTACATTGCCCCCCCCCTCCTTTTTTTATTTAGTTGAGTTCAAAACTCTTTCAAAACTGAAAACATTTGGAGATGTTACATTTATGTGTAATATCTACATGAGTAGATATAAAAACAGTGGCAATATGGTGTGAACAGAATGATATCCACTATATTTACACTGATTCAATCGCAGTATGCAGGTTAGAAAAGAGAGACATAATTTGCTTCTTGTTTTTTTAATAATTAGTATACAATATATGAAGTGCCTAACTTTTTTTTTTATAAGTGTGGACAAGGACCTGTATCTGGTATGAAAACAGATTACTAAATATGGGTAACCGATTCAATCAGGTGACCCTATCTAAACAGATCACAAGATCAAAAGTCCGTTCAGCATTCGCGGCATTTGTCTGAGAAATGGAAAATGGAGGTGTAATGGTGCTTTTATTCATGGTTGCGTTATTTCATTTACATGTATTCTGCTCCCACAGTGACACTAATTTTCGTTGCAAAGTGTGTACTGGGCAGTTTGGTGTGTTTAATTGTAACAATGCGCCTTTTTCCCATTGTATGTTCATTGAAGGAGCGCAAAACATCAAGATGCGTGAAATCCGTATTTTTAGTTGCGATGTCAAAATTGTAAGAATCGGATGGTCCCTTCAACACCCAATAATTCGGTTCCTGAATTCCTGCATTTTCACAAATTCACATTCAAATGCACAACTTCATATATTGCTTTTTAATAAAATCTTAGTATTAACTAATTTTTTAATGATGAAGTGTATGACTTCATTTTACGATGTCTATCTTGCTATTTTAATCAGATTCTTGATAATGATAAAGTTCATAAGTTCTAATTCAGGGATATATAAATCAACACATGAGTGCATGCACATTTATATTTTTAACCAAAGTTTTCCGCTCAGAGGTATGTGTCTGATGCATGGTGAAGTCACCCTAACTGTAAAATGTGTAAATCAATAAAAGTAAAATGTTCATATATTTATCATCAGAAGTGCCACCTGTGTCTAAAAATCTATTGCAGATAAAACTACTCAGGAGTCCACGTCACAGTCAGCTCCATCAGCAACAACACCAAGTCAAGTTGTGACTACTCAAGAGACCTCCTCCAACCTTGTGGTCTTGCTGACCAGTAAGTTTTGAAAGGTTTTCATGTTCAAAACTGTTTCAAAACCCACTATAGACTGACTCAATACATTAACAATAACAAGGATCTTATCCAAATTATTATTTAAAAAAATCAAAATGTAAAGCAGTATTACTTTTTTTTTACTAAAGAAAGAAACAAATTAGCAACCACCTGTGTCTGAAAATCTATTGCAGATAAACCTACGCAAGAGTGCATGACATTGTATGCTCAACACAATGCCACAAGTCGAGATGCAACTACTCGAGAGTCATCCTCCAACCTTGTTTCTAAACCTCTTTTTGTCGGTCAGTGTATAACTAACACTGTATTGTTTATAATTGCTTGCTATATTTAAATACAAATGACATGCTAAAGAATAGGAAGTAATCTACTCGAAATACTTTTTGTAAGAAGAGAGCTTTATTGGATGCACAGAATTTGGAAACCTGAAAAGAAACTTAATAAGTAACCTTTAAAATCAAAAGTGGATAAGACACAATTACAACCAATTGATACAAATTCCTCCTTTTCTTCAGAGAAATGTAAGAAAAATGTGCATCAAAAATGTTAAAATTTTAGTTTTTTCTAAATAATCGTAAGTGTTGGAAAAATTAACTGTTAATGTGTATGTATGAATATGAATTTAATTTTTTCCATTTTTTGATAGGGTTTTTATCCTGGGCAATTACGATGACAGTCCTAGTCAAGTGTCTTAGCCTCCAACTACAACTGTGACCAACCTTCCTGCCACTACAACTGTGACCAACCTTCCTGCCACTACAACTGTGACCACAACTGTGACCAACCCTTCTGCCACTACAACTGTGACCACAACTGTATCCAGCCTTCCTGCCACTACAACTATGACCACAGGATCAATCAGCGAACGCACAGGGTCAAAAACAAAACGTAAACTTGACTTCTAGTCATAATGAGAAGAGTTGGAAATTTGTGTACTCTGGTCAAGTGATTTGTGATTTTTTGTAAACAAACTTTTTCAAAACAATCTCGTCTAGAATTTTGATGTAGATGCGTTTGTGAAAAAGATTTGTATTATCACATTATTTTTTTTTTTGTCATTTATTTTTCTTACGCGGGGGCAGTCAATCTGCATCTTTTTTTTTAAACCAATATTTGCTTGATCTTTCTGTTCATTTTTTCATTTGTTTCAACCTTTGTTATACTTATATAAATATATATATATATATATATATATATATATATATATATATATATTCTAGATATCTAGTCAATGATGTCGGTATTTTTAGTTTTGTAAACTGGTGTTAATAGTTTATTGGTTCAGATGATGTAGCATCTACATATGAAGATTTAATATTGCTTAAAAAAAACAAAACATTTTTTCTGTATGTATTGTAAAAGGGGGATAGAAACTTCCCGTGACGTGTTTTGTACGATATGTTTTTTTTCAAATACTTTTTTCTTTATGATTACTGCTACTTACAGGCAGTATTTTACAATCAATGTTTATCAGAGTGATTTTATACAGTTGTTTTTTGTTCTATGTATTGTAAAAGGGGGATATAAACTTCCCATGATGTGTTTTATATTGATATGTTTTTTTTTTTTTTTTTTTTTTTTTTTTTTTACTTTTTTCCTAAATGATTACTGCTACTTACAGTCAGTATTTTGCAATTAACGTTTATCAGAGTGATTTTATACAGTTGATTTTATATGTTTTGTTTTGTTTGACATTCCATTGGGCATGTGTGTCATCACAGAGTTGTGAATTTCGTTGGTTTAATTTACCATTAAACATTTTGCAATAAATTAGTATTGTTATTTTATAAGTTTGTGAGGTGCTTCTGACAGCAATGACTATTTAAGTATAAAGATATTACAAATACTGGGGTATTTCTTTTAGAAAAGTCATTAATCGCTCATGAATAAGAGAAAGGATATGATCGAGTCAAGTGTGGATCTTCATGTTTCAAAGTTCAAACAGGCTTTTGTTTTGTTCTTTGGATGAGTTGTGGTGTATTGATATATTATAATTATTATTTTTGATTCAGATATTTGAAATCCATAATCATTCTGAATTTAATTCAGGACATTGCAGACGGTAGTTTATTAAAAGAAATCTTTGACTCTTTGGAGGATCCGGACACTGTGCAGTTATTTGCCGCAGCTAATGGTTTAGTTGGTGATGCTGAGGTCAAGAACCGATTAAGAGAACTCCAATGGGAAAAACACATTGACGGTTTATGGCAAGAGGTTCTGTCTGATATGGAATCCCCTAGCAAAAAAAGTCGACGTTCCCTCGATGACGGCGATCAGCCTTCAACGAGTGGGCAGTCTGGGGGTGGTGGGGAGGGTTCCAATTCGGAGGACCCATTAGAAAAACCCTATTACATTTGGAAGAGTCACTCGAATGTTTAAAAAAAATTGGGCGCGCGACACTATGTTCAAGGAACAGTGGCGTGGGGATAAATTAATAGATATACAGAATAAATATCGCAGCGAAAACTCTGTTTTTTCGTGTACATTTTTATAATGAGGCTTGAAAGAAGAGTTGTTACAAAACGACGTGTTACATATAGTACAAAATGTCTGCATAATTCACAGTCGTTCTTTCAAATGTCATTAAACACCTAATCAGACTATGAGTACATTTACCTCAGTCTTATATAGTACATCATTAGTCATACACATTCATTACATCATTTCACATGCAATCTTTCCGGGTTATGACTGAATTCGACGGATGTTGTCCGGAAGTTAATGTATTTCTTGTAAGGTCATCTTTAAAATTGTTTGGTTGCGCTCTCCCGACCGACTTAAAACTACCCGACTCATTTTTTTTTACATTCAGGACATGATATATTATTTTTATTCCTCTTATCTTGTCAACAAATATATTAAAATTTGAGACGGGAGAGGGCAAGCAAACATTATTTTAAGGACGATCTAACCACGATTATCTAGAGGACCTGTTTTACAAAAAAGAACTTAAGACTACGACCAAAATTTAATTCTGCTAATAACTTTCTTTTTTATGTTAAAAACAAAATCTTTTTAATTGTGTAGAGAGATACTTTTAGCTAGCAATTTTAAACAAAATTATAAATTTTGCAAATTTAACAATCAACAGGAATTTTTTTTGGTATTAGTCGTAAATTTTTCTTTGTTAAACACCTAGGCCTCAGATTTTCCTTCCTTCTTTCGTTTCGTAGGAATATAACCTACTGAACACAGATTTTTTTCACACATCTTAAAGTTTTTCTTTCCTTTTTCAATGCAATATAGTGTATCATTTTTTTAGACAATCGCAGAAGAAAGTCTGCAGCAGAGAGTCTTGCAACTGGAGGAGAGCTTAGAAGCTCTGAAGCAGGAGCTTCAGGGGAAGAGAATCCTCCGAAAATTACATGTTTGCAAAATTAAAAAGTTAAAAATTTCAATATGCCTTTTCAATTCTGTTAACCGTTGAAACAGTGAAAGACTGTAGCAAGATAGAATGTACTTAAAATTTACAAAATGATCACTGACACAATAAAACAAAGATTACATATAATTCAAATATTTATATTTCGTTTATTCAATGCATAAAGAATATCAGAGGAGCCAACATATTAAAAAGTTTATCATTTAACACAAAAGGAGGTATGCAGGTTGAACAAATCAGATATGGAATCAGTAGATTAGTCTGTTGGGTGGGCGCCTCTGGCTGGTTGAGCGACGGAGCGGTTCGAGTTGAGGAGCTGGCATGGCTGGTGGAGGTGTGGGGGGTCGCACTGGGCGAGGTGCATTGTTGACTCTTCGACTCCTCACACACAGTGCCAGTTGATACATCACTGAAGAGTAAATGGTTTTTAAAGTCCCTCATGACAACTGCATCAAATTCTGTAAGTGACTGGGACTCGATCTCAATGTCCACCCGTCTTCTTAGACACTTTCTTTTGATAGCGCAAACAATCATCAGAGAAAAAATGACAACCACTACACTTATCCCTCCAAGGATAGCATATATCCAAGGTTTCTCTAAATAAACAAAATATGGCTTTAAAAAAACAACTTCTTTAGTGATTTAAAAAAATCCATTATTTTTTTTTTTTTTAAAGTTCAAACTTACTGAATGCTATGGCTGTCATTTCCATGGTCCTGAGTGTGGTAGAGGTTATCTTCTCGGTGACCCAACTGCTCTGCTGGCCGTTCAGAAAAAAAGAGAAACAAGAAACATAAATGTCTAATTTTTTTTTTAATAACATCGATTAAATTAAAAAATTCTTCAAGATATATTTCCCTGGCAAGTTTTTTATTTAAAATTATTGTTATTTTTCATGACATTGATAAAAAAAAATAAATGAAAACCCTTATAGGTATATTTAGCTGACAAGTGTGGGATCCTATCTGGATCGTCGTCCAGGTGTTTGGTTTGATGGCATCACACTTGGTCTGAGGGTCGTGGACGAGTAGACGGCTCAACACTGGGTACTCCTGCACATTGATCTCCCCCCCTACTCGCTCCAATATGACAAAGTTTGCCATCAGATGATTTCCCGTCTCAAACTCTCTCCAGTCCCGGCACTGGACCACTCCCTCCGATACCCTGCACAGCGCATCGGCGTGCACCAACAAAATCATCAAGAAGAATACGAACATTGTGTCTGGAATTTCAGGAATAGGATGGCCGAAGTCGACCTCCATCTCTTATATAATAAATAATAACTCATTCCAATTAGGGGTGGAATGGTTATCTAAATTACGATGTTATCAATTTTTCCCCCCCAAAATTACATTTAACCGTTGATAACTACCGGGCATTATTCTTTTTAGAATAATAGGAAATTTTTTTTAGATGTAAGTTACATACATAGTTCTTTAAAACTTAAAAAGAAGTTCAACATCCCTGTTTATTAAAATGGAACTGGTCCTTGACCAGTGGAAGTGTCCATATTGGTGAAGTTGCCTTTGGGTTAAGAAAATTTATTATTTACAAAGAAATCGATAAATTAACGATTAATAATTGTCATAATTATTAAAAACAATAAATCTTAGTGATGCGCCACTTAAATTATTTGATTCCGTAGAAGTACAAAGGCCGTAGTTTTGAAGAATTCCATTCCTTTGCCCCTCCCCCTTCTGAAAGTCAAGTCACCCAGGCGCTAGCGGCGCCTTTGATGTTACCCGAAGACTGTCCCCTCGCATAGCGGACCAGCGGCATGTAGGGGATATTACATAATGTGTATATATGTCTGCAGTAGGATTGATTATACACGATTCATAGTTAACACAGTCTTGAACCGAATATGCTGAACATCACAATTTTATTCTCGTATTATATTTTATTTATCCATAAATAGTATATCGCGACATTACTTAAATCGACATTGATTTTACTTATGAAAAGTAGTATTATTAATTACGTTTTTTTTAAAAGATGATTTTACTGTTGGATTTGTTAAAATTTAGTTTCCCTTAAATCTCCATTGTATTCGAAAACTTAATTCTTTAATGTGAATCGCTTTATTTTTTTGAATATACAAACATTGAGCGATATACACAGTGATAACGAAGAGATTGATGAATTGTAGGGTTTTTTTTTTTTGGTTTTGAAACCCTACTTATATAAGACGCAGCCCCTCCATTATGTATGATCAAACACAAGTAAAATAAACATATTAGACACTTCCAATGGTCAAGAAGAAGTAAAAAAAAATTTTTTTATATATTAATATAGTGTAATAAGTTTAATTTTAAAATAAGTTAAAGGTAGAATAAACCCCCACCCCCCACCCCCCGTTGCTTTAGTTAAAGTTTAAATTGAAGCAGGGTCTGAAAGAAAAAAAAAAATATAATAATAAAATTTAAAAAGAGAAAATCTATGCCCCGCTACTCTACACCAATTAACAATCATAATAATTTACCTGGTGTCGTTCTGCTTCTGCAAAGAGGGCAACTGCGGGACATCAATCGCCTGAAGCAAATCATGCAGCAAGCTATCTGCTTACAGGTGTAGCAAACATAGCTAACGGTTTTCACCTCGCAGCAGAGTCTGCACTCAAACGACGAAGGTTGAAATCGGGCATACATGTAACCCCACCTCATCTCTCCTGTCTGTTAAATTTTTCCGAGACCCATAATGATTTTTTTTGTTTCGTATTTTGAAGAGGGTGATGGTTCTATACTGGTCGAGTTTTAATACAGGGCTTTTTATAAGAAATCTGATTAACTCAAATACTTCACGGGTGGTCAGTTTGAGAAGGTGTAATAACATCCTTCTTCTTTGACAAAAACAACAATTCCATTTTAACAAATTAAGTGATAGTTTTGATTTTATTACAAAAAAGAACTTAATAGATTTATCTGTGTAAATAATGTCTGTTGATTAATTAACGTGTTTTCTTTTTCATTCACTGACACATGTATCGTCTACTGAAACAACACATTCAATAGATTTAATCCGCATTTACTTAAAATTTCACTTTTTATTTCCCTAATAATCCATGCAATTGGATTGTTTATATTTTCTTTTTTATCCCTCAATACCTCACTACAAACAATTTTAAATGATAATATTTGATTTGGAGCAAAATGAAATAAAAATAAACACAATTTATTGAAAAAAGTTTTTTATCTATGCATATTATTTATAAAACCAGACACCAAACGATCATTTGCATGCCTATTTAGATCATAAAAGTCATGTACAATGTTATGCATGGAACGTCCTTTAATTCTTTATAAGATGAAATAGATACAATAGTGTCCACACAAGGAAGAAGTCTCTGACTGGACTCTGGAATCGATATATTTATTTCTCGGTCTATTGAATACCAAAATGCTTTGAAATCTCCTATGATAATATTCCGGTGCATTCCCGAGGGAATCAAAGAACTCTATAGATCCTTTTGAGGGAAAATGAAAAACGACCCAATGTAAACCTTTTCCCCCGCATTCGTCAGGTCATCGGCGCATACGACCTGAACGTCGTGTGATGATAAATAATGTTTCAATTCGTAATTGTTCATATGAATATAATGCTCCTAGACTGATCAATGTGGAGAACCTGCGGGAATTTTTCGTATATTAAAGTAACACTGTCGACGAGAAGGGGTAAAGCGAATTTTAATTCTAAGTGACAATGACCTTTCCGCTTCATATTAAAGTCGATGTAGGGATTAATGCTCAAGACATATAAAGCATTTCCAACGGGATATTCCCCTCGCTCTATACTAACGTGCTCTCTACCTAGAAGGAGGGTTTGATAAGCTTTCCAAGTACTCGTAACTGACTCGTAATTTGGTTGTAGAGGTTTAGAAAGCTACAAAGTTACAATTAAAATGTTTAAAGCTATACGGAGATTTCTTATAATCTCCGTTAAAGGCGCTACTGGACACCATTCCCAGAATGAGCGTAGACGGAACTTCTCCTTGAAATACGTCGTCTATGGTCAAACTGAGTTCACCCTTAGCGATGGAAGCAATTTTTAAACTGGAAAACAAGTAGGGATACACGGCAGGGGACTTCTCCAGCATTTTCACATGCGCCATGATAAGGGCGGGATTGTATCGCTGAATGCAGAGTTTAAAACTGGCATCGATAATTTGTATTTTGTAATCTTTACCCTCAGCTGACTTTAATCTAAATGAATCTTTGCTAGGCCATAGTTTCAGGGAAAGTGCGACCCCATTTAAAACCAAACGATCTTGTTGAAAATATCTACGTGTAAGGGTCCTTCTAAGTCTACAATTTTTCCACCTTTGGTAAACTGATATCTTTGAAATAAACCGATGTTTATCCCTTTGATTGGATCCTCGGGATCAGAGGTGTCTTTAAGGTAGAGCTGAGACTGACGCACTTCGTAGTTTTCGGCGAATGTACATAGTAAGGTATCGATGTAGGCCTTGTAGGGATAATTCGTTCCCAGCTGTGACACTGGAGTCTGCTGAAGACTAGTGTCCACTTGAGAAAAGATGCCATGTAGAGGCAAGTTTGTCAAACCAACGGCATTTTCTTCAGTGATGGGGGTGTTCAGCGGGCTTAGTATTCTTAGCTTAACTTTTAAGCGACTGTTCTGAAGGTCCATGTATCCGGTGGAGAGAGGAGGAATGTTGAATTCCAAAGCAGAATACTCAGAAATTTGATTGATAGGTCTAAACTCTACCCATTCTCTTGTAAGTATGGCCGTGTCCGTCGGCGGAGGTTCAAAGATGGAGAGTTAGTTCATGTGGTTTTCTTTCATGATTAATCGTCGAATTGCGTGCTGTTTTTGCTTCTTGGTTCTAGGTTTAGAGTTTGTAGGTTTTCCCGGTGGGCGATACATTTGTCGCTTTCTTACAGATTGTCGCTTTTTTGGTGAGGAGTTGTCGTTTTCACGTTCCATTTCCGATTTAGCCATTTCGATTGCCTGAGCTACTGGGGTCACTAATTTCACGGAGGGGTGATGGTCCCTAGAAGGAGTTTCATATCGCTGTTGAGAGCCACTACCAACAATGTACCTCCCTTTATAATCCGGACGAACCCTACCAGCGGAAAGGTCTTCAAAATGGTTTATCCATTTATTAAAATCGGGAACGTAAGGAACCCATTGCATTTTATTATAGTCGTACACCTCTACTGAGCCCACGGTTTCTTTTTCCGCAAACACAAGACACGCGCAAATGATTCAATGCTTGTAGGAAGAGGCCTTAACTGTTCGTTTCTTATAAAAACTCTGATGTTGCGAAAGTCTTGTTTAGATATATCAAAGTAGAAGGGAAGGTTATAAGACTCCTTAATGTCCTTCGCTACATCGCAAGCTCGCAAAACCGGTAGCATATTATTTCGGACATAACTATCTTCAACTATATCGCAGCACACGTACACTCGAGGTACCAAATTTTCTTTGGACAGACGAATGTTCCCTTTTTAAAGCGCACACTCCCAGGAACCGTTCAATATGTATTGCTTAGGCAGAGTAACGATAAAATCATCGGGTGTATTAGAGGGATGAAAATTTGACGAGTCTTTCCCGTTCAAAAATAAATACACAGTCATGTCTGTAGCGAATCGCGGTTTCGCTCTCTTAGAACTTCAGATTCTCTGTCTCTCAGAATACGAATGAGTATCCTCGCCAAGTAATAATCTCTCAAAAGTCTTGGAATCAGTTCGCAGTGAGAAAGTAGTTTGTTTTTTTTTTTTGCGTGCAATTGAAATCCGTGGATTGACCAATTGTCTCATAACAAGCCGCCAACGCCGGAAATGAGAGCGATCGCGAGTTAAGATCGGAACATGGCCTAGAAGCAAGTGAGCCACGACATCGCAAAGAGCTAATATTTGTCGATCGCTTGCTCTAGGAATCATAGTGCGTCTGACAACTGCGGTTAGCTTGTCTGAGAACTCTCAGAAAATCGGCATTCTGCATTATATTAGATTGTTCCATTCTTTTATTATTTTTTAAGTTAAATCAACACTATGATTATGATTTTGTTTTATTAATAATTATATTTTATATACCACATATCTAACTCTTCTTATAATGTTTCAGTGACGATTTGGGTATGTAGCTGTGAAATTTTTTAGGCCACCCCCACCACTTGACTAAAGCCTGATTCCCTTTATATCGCAACACCTTCTCGATTCTATACATCGCGTCTCTGTCGAAAAGTACTTTTTGTAAT